TTCAGAGTCTGTATCTCCCTCTCTCTCTGACCCTCCCCTGCTCACGCTGTCTCTCTCTCTCTCTCTCCTAGAAATAAATAAAAATATTTTAAAAAAAAGAGAGAGAGAGAGAAATTCGGGGGTCAACAGCATCTTGCAAGTTCGGACCTGTCCAGTGAGGCTGAGCTGCTCCTCTGGGCTCCCAACTTCAGGTCTTTAGTGACGTCTTCAGTGACAGCTTTTGATATCACTAAAGGAGGCAGGCACTGTGAAGACACATCTGTGGGGCACAGCAACCTGCTGGGAGCCAACTCAGGTCCTGGGTGTACCTGATAATGTCCAGTTCCCTGATGGAAGCCCTGCCAGAAACTCCAAAGTCCCGAAAAGCCCATAGAAATTCTTGCACAGAACGTGTCACAGGGGCGTACATCAAGCCCGCTCCTACGGACCACTCTTACCCACAGCAGGGCCGGTGGCACGGGCTCTTTCCAAGTTACGTGGGTTTCTTGGCCCAGCTTTGCCATAGTTCCTTTTTTTCTCTTTTTCCTGTCACTTGGTGTCTGCAGGCAGCCTGTGATTTCCATCAGATGCTCAAGGCATCAGACACTATGGTTTCACTCCACTGTCACTCTGCATTCTTAGTGGTATTCCAAACCTAGGAATGATCTTGCTTAAAAGTTCACAGCTTCGGAGGCATCTGAATGGCATGGACAAGCTTCCACCCCATTTGTAAAGGTGTCTGCACATAGAAGGAAACCTCAAGAATTCCCTGTTGTCCTTTGCACTCTGGGAAAAGCTGCCTCCTGGTCTGCCCCAGGTTCGCTACCTCTACCTTGTGTACCTTTGAGAACTGGTGGGGGCCCAGTTTTAGGATTGTTTTTAGCACAAGCGTCACCTGTTTTAAGCATTTCTTAGAAAATCAGAGCCCACAATATACTTCTGGGTCCACTGAATAGTGGCGTCTTTCCCATAATGGGTGCTGTGACGGATATGGCGAGATACTGCTTTCACTGGAGGCTCTAGGGTAAGGATTCATTATGTTGGCAGGCGGGATCAATGTCAGTATCATGGTGTCCAGTTCCCTGCTCCTTACTTACTTAGGTCCTCTCTGGTCCTTCAAGGACTGCTGGGGTCGATGTGTAGCTCAGTCTCTGCTTGGCACTAAAGCTCTTGGAGAGGGTTTTGGAGGCTTTGTATGAGTGGCCAGTGTGGTTCCTTCCCTTGGGCAGTCAGTCCAGTTTCCAGCATCCTCAGCAGTGGACGATAGCCACTGAGTGGCCACTGCACGCAGCTCTTCCTTGTCTTCGATCTGTGAGACTGTCCCCATCCCTCAACACTTCAAAGTCTGGCTTCTCTGGTGGCAGACCATGCGGAAGGGATAGCTGTGATCTGCTCGTTCAGTTATCCATGTGTCTCTGGCGATCTTTGCGAGTGGCCCTGACACCATAGGCCACTTTTCTCTCTGGTTGACTTCAGCGTGTCCAGCCTCGGTTTGCAGGGTACCAGGAAAAAGCCCTGCCCTCTTCCCAGGTGGTCACAGCCAAAGACTGTTCTGAAGAGCCAGCCTCTTCGCCTAATTTTGGGTGGTTCAGAAGGGAAGTCCAACTCCCGGGATGCTCAGAGAGTCGGCTGAGGCTCCTGTTGAAGTATCACTGCTCAGCTTCTGCCTCATCTGGTTCTCTGTCTCTCCGTTCTCCTTCCCAGGTGTTGATTCCTCCCTTATAAACTTGTTTTTCACATGCAGAACTCCAGAATCTTGGTCCAGACAATGCATAGCATTTCTTTTAAAGATTCCCTTCTCACAAACCTTCTACAATTTTCCTTTGCACATTCATTCAGAATTTGTCCTATGTTTTCCCTCTTTATTTAATAGTTTTTAAAATTTTTGTCTGAGAGTTAGAGAGAGATAGCACAATCCGGGGGGGGGGGGGTTGGAGGGAGAGAGAGAGAGGAATATCTCAAGCAGGCTCCACTTGGAGGCTGACACGGGGCTCGATCCCACAGCTCTGGGATTCTGACCTGAGCAGAGGTGAAGAGTGGGATGCTCGAGAGACTGAGCCACCCAGGTGCCCCAATTTTCCCTCTTTGAACAACCAGTCTCACTTCCCTTACATACAGAGCTGTCTCCCTTATTTGTTCAAGTCGTCTTCATTACATTTCTTACAATTGTTTACATCTGTCTGTCATTCACTTGCCCATAAAGTCAGGAGCCCTCAGACAAGGCTGAAAAGGTTTTGTCTTCTCTGTCCCATTTTGTGACAGTAATAACACGAACAGCTGGTTTGACTTTCAGTAACAGAAGCAGAATAAAACTATTACATTTAATGTTGGTGATTCTAAAGACATATGCCCATTTTGATTAAACGAACAACATGAAATTAGCTTTCATACCAAATATTTTCGAAGATCACAACATGAACTCGAAAGGCGATGGGGGTTAGTTTCTCTGAGTTTTAGAACACCTAGTTCTTACAAGCACTTGCCTTGAAACTGGCTAAGTAGAGCACTTTTCCAACTTAATTTTAGCAACACCACCTGGAGGTAGAGAAACTGTCTCACACTGACAACATACATAGACACATGTACAATTACACAAACAGGACGCAAGCCAAATCTTAAAGGCCCAATCTGTTAACATCTCCCTTTTACAAAACACAGTGAATTGCGAGATGGTATTACTCTTTATGGATCCAGTATATGGTTATTTTTCTCAGTAGTCGAATGCATATTGTGGTCAAGCAGAGTTGCAAAAAAAAAAAAAAAAAAGACCTTGTAGCTTGGGAGACTATGGCCCAGAGGGCTGGAGGTGCAGACAATTTGTCACTTCCCATTGTCCACCAAGAACATGGCTGGTTTTATTCAAAGATAACCATAGCTACCAGCCACAAACAAACCAATGGAAGCCCAGGTTACCTCCGTGAGTGTTTCCTTTGTGAGAAGTCATGGCTCTGCCGACTGAACCAAGCCACTTCGTCATCAGCCTTTTCTTAAGCAAGCGAGTAAAGGAGGCTCAGAGAACCAAAATCCCCTCTTGGATGAGGCTGTAGATGGGACAGTGTGGGGCACAGGTAGTGTTGAGTTCATGTCCACTTCATTCTTCTCCTTTTTTTCCCTCTCCCTGTGCTGCAGTGTCTGCAGACTTACCTCCTTGGAATCCTGAGGAAGGGTGTGTGGCAGGCCCATGTGCACTGGGGCAGGAAATGCTGGCCCCCACTTGGGGAAAAGTCCATGTTCACTCTCTTCTGTCTTCCCTTCTCTCCCCTAGGATTCAGATTCTAGTGTTTCATGGGCCTTTTACTGTTTCTGTCTCTTTGGCTCTCTGTGCTGCATCCTGAACTGTTTCCTCAGGATGGGCTTTCCAGTCATTCGCTAATTCCCCTCCCCGCCCCCCCTTAAGCTGTGTCCAGTCTGCAGTGTGGCCCATCCGCTGTGGACAGAGGCTCTCAGAAGAGGTCCAGAGATGTTCAGCCTGATGACAAATTTATATCTTTATGCGCCGGTGTGCCCAAAAGCATAGGTGAATAATTAGGTTTTTAAATCTATTGGTCTCTTCACATTGAGAACAAAAGGAGAGCTACGAACCAAAGTCCTGACAGTACTAGCTTTTATCATTGTCCGTGTACTTACTTTTGCTGGAGATGACTTCTTCAGAAGGCTTCGAGTTACTGTCCAGGGCCCTTTCATTTCAACCCGAAGGACCTTCTTCACTGCAGGGCGTCTCTAGTGGTCAGGGCAAGCCTTTCAGCTTTGGTTTCTCTGGGAATGTCTTCATCTCTTTCTCATTTGTGAAGGACCGTTTTCCCAAATGCAGGATTCCTGGTGGACAGCTTCTTCCCTTCAAGGCTTTGAACCCATCAACCCTTGCCTTCTGACCTCCAAGGTTTCTGAGGAGACATGTGCTCACAATCTTATCGGTGAAAAGATGATGAAAAGCAATTTTTCTCTGAGCTTTATCAACGTTACTAATGAGCCTTATCGTGTTTTACACAACACAGCATTTCCCTATATGTTGTAGTACCATTTTGAGACCAGGAATTGAGTAATTTAAGTGTAGACATTACGAGGGCTATAAAAGCTAAAATTATAGTTTTCTAAACTCAAAATGAAAAGGTACTGACCGATCTTATAGATTTCGGTTTCTAACAAAGTAAATATCAATCTTGAAAAGCCTGCACCAACAAACAAAATGCCCATTGGGATACTTTTTTTATTTTTATTTTTTATTCTTTTTTTTTTTTCTTTTTTTTCTTTTGAGTGAAGGGGTCTTGGGAACAAAAAGGGAGGAAACACTGTGGTCGCAGACATCCTGGCCATGATTGCCTGATGGGCCCATTGCCTGCTCTGACCTCGTAAAGCACCATTGCAATGTAGCTGCAAAGCCTGCCTTTATAAGACCCTGGCTCAGCCCGGTGTTTGGTCTTTACAGCCCAGGAAGCCTTGATGACCTGTCGGCCTGACCCTAGCTAGTTTGGTTTCTGCTTCACTTTTTGTTGTTTGGTTCATGTATTTTTTTCATTTTCATTTTTTTCCCCTACTCATTTTTTTCTCCATTTTCTTTGCTTTTTCTCCCCCCCTTTTTTTGTCCTTTTTTAGTTTGTTTTTTTTTCTCAGTTTTTCTTCCTTTTGTCTCTTCATTTTCTTTCTGTTTTTTTTTTTTTTNGTTTGTTTTTTTTTCTCAGTTTTTCTTCCTTTTGTCTCTTCATTTTCTTTCTGTTTTTTTTTTTTTTTCATTTGTTTGTTTCTTTAGTATTAGCGTTTTAGTACAGTTAGTATAGTTCATCTTGTTGGTATAGTAGTGAGCGTAGTATTGTTAGTATAGCCTAGTGAGTGTAGTTAGCCTTGTTGATATTAGCACATTTTGTATCTTTGGTTTGTTAGTCAGCATAGTTACTGTAGTTTGCAGTGTTATTTAGTATCAGAGTAGTTAGGACTGTTAGTGTAGTTAGCAGGTCACCATGATTCAGGAGTTTTTGCCTGTCGTCGTTGACGATGAGGCGACCTGTGTTTATGTGCTCCCCAAGTCCATAGGTGGGGGCAGCTTCTCCGAGACAGTGGCTGATGACATCCTCAACCAGGAGATGGATGTCAAATTCATCAGAAAGACCCAGCAGGACTCCACTGGCCTCCAGGGACTTTATCACGAAGCCCAGAACACGAAGACATCGAACCACCGAAGCATCGTCACATCCCTTCAGGTGATGAACACCAGTGAGACCTTACTTCTGTTTACAGAGTGTGTCACGAGAGACCACCTGGAGGACGCCTGCCCACCCTGGGGCCGTGTGGCTGAGGACGTTCCCGACAAATTCTGTCAGCTGATAGACATATTGGAGTGCTGCCACCAACAAAGTGTCTTCCCCAGGGACCTGGAGCTACAGCAGCTGCTCTTTGACCAGGACCTCAAGGTAGCACGCAAAGGCTTTGGCCTGAGCATCCAGTTTGCGGGCTACAAACTCCACATATTCTGGGAGAGCCCCAATCCTGCTGCCCCGCGACTCTTCCTGCCTCAGGAAGACCCATTTCCTCTCACAGATGTGTGGAGCCTTGGGTGGGGGCGGGGTTTGTACTGCCTAGCCACAGGATTTGAGCCCTTTGAGGGAGAGGTCATCTGGGACTTCCTCAGGGACTTGTGACAGCAGAGTGTTCTGATGCTGATGTCACTCGAGGATGGAAACGTTTGGAGCACATTGAGATGCATCCAAGCAGGACAGAGAAGAACGGACAAAGGGGAAAATCCAGGGTGGGAGGAAGGTTAGCCTTTGACTGAGACACCCGATGAAGAAAACAAGGACCCCATGATGCCTCAGATGATGGCAAAATGGCCAGGCTGTGGCCCACCCAGCCTAGAGGCCACGATCTGCTCACTGAGCCCAGCCAACTCCTGGAGCCCCACCCTGGTCTCCCCCTCCAGCTCCAGCACTTTCTCCCTGGGGTCCTTTAAGACCGCCGAAGAGACTAGCATCAAAAGCGACAACACCATCAAAATCAATTATTAGGAAGACCTAGAAGACAAGGAAGAGACCCCAGAGAGAATCAGAACTAAACCCCAAACCCGATTCCGAAAACTTCTGTGTAATTTAAAGAAAATATTTAAGAAAAATAAAGTGACTCCACAATAAGAGAGCCACGGTCCATGCCTTTTTCTTCTTTTGTTTTTTAAGTTTCAGGAACCTTAAATAATTATTTGTTTTGAAAGAGAGGGACAGGGTGAGTGGGGGAGGCGCCAGAAGAGAACCCAAAGAGGCTCCCGGCTCTCAGCTGAGATCTGATGCAAGGCTCCAATGTCCAAAACTATTGAGATCCCAACCTGAGCCCGGGCTGAGAGTGAGATGCTTAAGCGACTGCGTCCCACCCAGGTTCCCCCTTCCTGCCTTTGAAGTGGAGGGCAAGATGCAGAGCTCCAGAAAACCTGTGGACAGGCACAGGAGAATGGCCAGGACGATGGGTGGGACCAGATTCAGGACACCTAAAGACACTACAGGAATGACAGCGGGATAGCCACAATGGATTTGGAGTTGTAGGAAACACAGGGTGGAGGTGGTGACATTTTGGGGTGATGTGGGGTTCGTGGGTTCCAGAGCCAATGGCCAAGAAATGATTCATGAAGAAATCTTTGGTGCAAAAAGGTGATTTTAAGAAAGCATGGGGCCCGGTCCCTGAGGCAGGGAGAGCTGCGCTGGGGTCGTGTCGGGTAGCTCATTATGTACTCTCTGGTTGGAAGGGCGTTAGGGGTAGAGTAAGTCTCCATGGAATTCTGGAAGCAAGGTTCCAGGGCCTTGAGGGGCTAGATGTTGGTGGGGAAACGCTGTACGTTTATTCCCATTTAATGAAACCTTAGTCATGAGACCCCTTACGTGGATGTTGGTGACCACAAGCTTGGAGTGTAATTGCCAGCATGTAGGATGGGGCCATTGAGATGAAGTAGACTTGCAGGGTCCTTGAGGTTGGAATGACGTGAAGCTAAGGTTCTCTTTTGCCCCCACAGAAATGTCCTCCTTGAGGCAGCTGAGCTCCTAGAAGGAGGTCCCTCTACCTGTTTCAAGGACTTGTCAATGGGCTGCAGGCAGTAAGGGAATTTAAGTTTTCACTGGCCTCAGTTTCCCACATGGCCACGGCAAACACTTAGACTTTGTTCTGGGGTAGCCAGGAGTGTCCGAGGAGGATCACAACATATTCCACCTGAGAGGGCTGGAACCAGCCTGTATCTTGCCCTCAGCCTGCCTTATGCTCCCTCACCATATCCCCTCTGAACACTTTTGACCCTGAAATCATTAGGGCTACTGCAGGTGGAAGGGCTCATCTTCTGTAGCATCTTCCTTCTGAGGAGGGGTGTAGAGTTGTCCCTACCTGTCACGGTCAATGTGGGCCAGTCAGGGAACATAGAGGGGAGTTAGAAAAGGCAGAGACAGGGGCGCCTGGGTGGCTTAGTCGGTTAAGCGTCCGACTTTCACTTGGGTCATGATCTCGTGGTTCGTGGGTTCGAGCCCCACGTCGGGCTCTGTGCTGACTGCCAGCTCAGAGCCTGGAGCCTGTTTCGGAGTCTGTGATTCCCTCTCTCTCTGACCCTCCCCTGCTCACGCTGTCTCTCTCTCTCTCCTAGAAATAAATAAAACATTAAAAGAAAAGGCAGAGACAGTGTAATCCATCGTGGGCAACTGGTATGAACCTCCTTGAGGAGAAATGATCGTGTGATGGCTTGAAGTGATGGCAAGGATGGAGTCTTGGTACCAGGCAAGGAGACTTGGGAGAAAACAGCCAACCAGAATGACAATAACTAGAAAAATGAGCCCAAATGGAAATCCTTTGGTAGCTGACAAACCTCCTGCAGTCTAGGAGTTGAACCAGTTATTGAAGGAAAGAGGAAGATTGTTTGAAGTGCCAATTGGAGTACTCATGTCATTCAGAAATCCAGAAACGTTTCTGCAGGTATCCAGAATGTACACCTGGCATTTGTGTTGGATGAGGGTGTCTGTTCCACTTTGTGCAGCAGTTAGCACATTGCATGTCATTCTATTTTGCAGAACTGTTTTATGCATTTGGGTATGTTATTTGGGTATTTCACACTAGAATGGTATGGTATGTAGAGAGTCCTTTAAGGCCTTAACTGGGTAACAGGTGGTGGATAGTCATCCTAGAGACTCTCTTTTGTTGAGGAAGCAATCAGCTCATGAATCAGAGGTACTTTTCTAGAACGAAAGGAAACAGAGGTAATGAGTTAGAGCAAATTACCAAGCTCGTGTCTACCAGTGCTCCCCTTGAGATGTTAGATGTCAAGCCAGAAGCATCTTCAGATGAGGGTGGGAACAGGCAGCAGGAATCTGACGGGGCTTTCTGGTGTGTGACCCCAGTGTCTGTGGTGGTCCTTTTGAATGGCCCATTGTAAGAAGGAATTGTTAGTAAAACTTGGGAAAAGGAATGAAAAAGAGTTGTGACCATCCTCATAAGAGAAGTTTGAGGTCTTCCACAGACCCACAAGAAGAAGAAAGCACATGAGTTTGCTCATTGATTTCCTGCAAAAGGGGGTACAGGTTTTAGTTAGATACAGGAGCTGGTGAAACATGCCCCTCTAACTTGACTACAGCCCTTGTATTTTGGAGTCAAATTGGCAGTTGTGATGACTTTACATCCTTTGAAGAAACCAGGTCTTGTGGGTTTATATGGGGTGGGTTTCTAGTAACTGTCATGTCAGGTTTAGGGGGGACATGGTTTGCATGCTTAGAGATGTATGAAATACCCCAGCCTCAAGTGAATCATGAAGAAAGCACTGGCGTCTTTGTCTCTTGATAGGTCTACAGTAGGAAAAGTCTATGCAGGCACTGGTTGGGGGAATCCATCCCATCCTCTGGATGTTTCAATCATATACCCAAGGGATTATTATTCCCACAGAATAACAAGCAAGAAGCCTATCTGTACCTATGCTACGGTGACAAGTTTTCAGAAGTTGAGCTCAAGTTGTCCAGCTCAGTTAGGCAAACAACAAGCTTTGAAAGACCATCGTAACTAGAAGTGACCATCCCCAAAGACATGTTATTGAAACAGGTTTTTTCTCGAAAAACCCTCGTTTTCAGAGAGAGTCAAATAAAGACTAATTCGCTTGTAGAACAAGTCCAGTTTTAACACACTTGGTCTAATTACCTACATTAGTGCAGCAAAATAGCAATTGATCATAAGGATCTTTTCAAGTCAGCTCTGCCAGAGCCTTTTCTTTTTTTTTTTTTAATATTTTTTATTTATTTCTAGGAGAGAGAGAGAGAGAGACAGCGTGAGCAGGGGAGGGTCAGAGAGAGAGGGAGTCACAGACTGAAACAGGCTCCAGGCTCCGAGCTGGCAGTCAGCACAGAGCCCGACGCGGGGCACGAACCCACGAACCGCGAGATCATGACCTGAGCGAAAGTCGGACGCTCAACCGACTAACCCACCCAGGCACCCCTGCCAGAGCCTTTTCTAAAGGATCTCCAGATTGACCTGTAGCAGCTCTTGGGGCCCGACGCCAAGCCAGGTACTTCCCATAGACAGGCCTGCGAACCCCACAGAAGTGGGCAAATTCCTCTTCACAGAGTCCCCGATATATCCTCAGGTGCCTGCCCCTGCCAGGAAGAGACATTCTTGACTCTCCTGAGGAGGTTTCTGGGAACTCAGGAAACAGGGTCTCAGGCCCACATATCCAAGGGGCTATTTGACTCCACGTTTCTTAAGTCAACCTTAGTTCCTTAGAGCTACATGATCTAAGCTACTGTGAGATCTCGACCTGAGCCCAAAGCAAGTGAGAAGCTTAAGCAACCAAGGCCCACCAAGGTTCCCCGTCCCTGCCTTCGAAGTGCAGGGAAAGATGCAGAGCTCCAGGAAGTCCAGGGACCGGCAGAGGAGAGTGGCCAGGGCAATGGGTGGGACCAGATCCAAGACAGCTTAACATGCTATAGGAATGACAGCAGGATACCCACCTGCTAGAATTGTAGTTGTAGGAAACACAGGGTGGAGGGCCACACCATCAGGGTGAGGCCCTTCCTTTCTGCTGACTCCAAGAGGCACATCCTCAATCTAGGAGGACCAAATCTTGGAGGGCCTACAGGTACTGACAGAGGCAGTACAAAGTACTGCAGCGAGCCCTCTTTAACTGCCAAATTCTTCACAGAGAACACAGGCCCGAAGGGGACCAGGAGACCGAGAAGAAGGTAAAAGTGCCAGACAGTCTCCACCCAGCCTGGAGTCCAGGATCAGCACACAGAGCCTAACTCCCTGCGGACGTCTTGGACGCCCTCCTCAGGCTACGGCCCATCGTCTCTGCAGAGCCCTGGGAGCCCTCCTGCAGCCCCAGTTCAGCCCCACAGCAGAGCCCTGTGACCCCTTCTGCAGCCCCAGCCCAGTCTACCAGCAGAGTCCAGGAGCCTTCTCTTCTACCTCCAGCCCACCCCCCACCTCACAAGCCTTGGCACCTTGTCAGGCACCGGCATCTGCAGTAGTAGTGGATCCCTAGGGGGAGTCAGATGGGCCCAGCGTCAGTCATGGGACACAAACACAAGTGGGAGCGACTACGGGGAGCCAGGGAGAATGACCCTAGAGCCAGAGCGAAAAGTCAATTTCATTCATCAACTAATACATTCATTCAAAAATATATGTTTAAGAAACATAAATTTAAACTTTTGTGACAGAGCCATGGCCTGCGTCTTCATATTATTTTGTTTTAAGTTGAAAGAAACTTCAATACATGTTTATTTTGAGAGAGAGGGACGGTGCTAGTAAGGGAGGGGCAGAGAGCGAGCCCAAGCCCACTCTGTGCACTCAGCACAGAGCCCCATGCGAAGCTGCAACTAACAACCACCTGTGATGATGATCTGAGCAAAGCCAGGAGTTCGATGCTTAAGTGACTGAGGCCCACCCAGGTACTCTGTCCCTCCTTTGAAGCAGAGGGAAAGATGCAGAGCTCCAGGAAGCCTGGAATAGGCACAGGAGAGTGGCCAGTGGCTGGACCCGACACGGGCTGGTGTGTGACGCATGA